ATGATGATGGTATAGATGGTAATGATAATGATTATTATGATGATCATCATCATCGTCGTCGTCGTCGTCATCATCATCGTCATCCTCCTCCTCATCATCATCATATTGGGCACCATCTTGAATAAATAATTAACATCTTAATCAAAGTATCATCTCATCATCTTTATCATCATTAATATTTTAAATGTATCAATAGCTTTTGATCATTAATAAAAACGTTCTATATACATAAATTATGTATGTGTGTGTCTGTCTATATGTATGTATGTGTGTATGTATGTATATATGTATGTATGTTTGTTTGTTTGTTTGTTTGCTTGCTTGTTTGCTTGCTTGCTTGCTTGTTTGTTTGTTTGTTTGTTTGTTTGTTTGTTTGTTTGTTTGTTTGTATGTATGTATGTTTGTATGTATGTATGTATATATGTCCGTGTGTGTGTGCGTGTGTGTGTGTGTGTGCGTGTGTGTGTGTGTTTAAAATTGATTTAACGCGATATAAGATAATATCAGATAATAAAGAAGGCCTAAGAAATTTAATTATGACTTCCAACCGCATTCATAATTGGCACTATGATTACATGTATGTCTGTGATGCGTTTGTGTGCGTGTGTATGTGTCTATCTGTTTGTGTGTGTCTGTGTGTGCCTGTCTATCGGTGTGTGCGTGTGTATCTGTGTGTGTGTTTCTGTATGTGTGTGTGCTGCTGTTTATTATTATTATTAATATTATCATAATAATAATAATAATAATAATAATAATAATTATTATTATTATTATTATTATTATTATGAGGTTGATGAAACTATTCCTTGAAAATAAAAAAAGTAATTTTCATACAACGATGACGACTACTGCGATAACAGTCATGACGTCATCTTCATTTGTTGACATCACGTGATCTTCAAGGTTAGAAGAGTGCAAAGGTCAAGCGTTTGTATAATGACTTGTGGCCGCTGGCCCACGTGTTATGAGACGATAGTGATGATGATACTGATGATGATACTGATGATGATGATGATACTGATGATGATGATGATATTGATGATGATGAGGAGGAGGAGGAAGATGATGATGATGATGAAGATGATGGTGATAGTTTTTATTTACTTTCATAAGAATTTATAAAGGTTGAAAATTATAAACAACAGCATCAACATCATTGCAACAACAACCACAACAACAAACACCAACAACAGCAACAACAACACCAACAACAGTAACAATAACAGCAACAACAACAATTTCATAACAGATTCATAACAGGTCGTCTTAAGCGTAATGATAATTTATGCTCCCAGCAAGCCAGCCTCATATTAGATGTTAATATCCATGATTAATTGATACAAAGGTTATCCTAATGCTTTGTCATATTATTTTTATTCACTCATTCTTGTCATTCATTCATTCATTCATTCATTCATTCATTCATTCATTCATTCATTCATTCATTCATTCATTCATTCATTCATTAGTTCATTCATTCATTCATTCGATCATTCGTTCATTCATTCATAACATTCATTGAACAAACAATAAGTATTAACATGAACAAGTAAAAATTATTTGAGTAATTTTATTCATAATAATTATAATTTTCATTTTTATTATTATAATTTATTATTTTTTTTTTTATTATAAATTATTAATGTTTTTGATCAACGTTTTTAAAAAAAACATGTAGACATGATTGTCAGTAGTAAATAAGACTAATTAAGAGTCCTGATGACGATGATGATCATGATCATATAATAATAATAATATAATAATAATAATAATAATAATATTAATATTAATAATAATAATCATAATAATCATAATAATATTAACAATAATGTCTATAAAGATAAGTAATATAATTATTAAAAAATAATTATTCATAGTTATAATTATTGTCACTATAATTTTGCTATGTTTATAATTGACGAAGTTTAAAATTTGCACTCGTGTTTATTTAACAACATCATTGCAATAAGTTTATTAAAGTTATTAACCGTACACACATACACACACACACACAAAGAAACACACACATACACACACATTCACATTCACACTCAAACACACACACATGCACACGCACAAACACACATAAACACACACGCACACAACAAAATGATAATATGATAATTGAAGATTATTTTATGATGAAAAATGATGATGACATGTTATGACGACGACGATGATGACGTCATAATCACTGACAATAGTGTCAACGATCATGACGTCAATCCTGATGATGACGTCATTGTCGATGAGGATGATGATGATGAGGATGATGAGGATGGACGATAATCTTAGATACGATCTTATAGATTGATATGTTTGATATAACCGTTAATAAGGAGCAGTCTTTATCATCTGATCAATCAATTAGCCATTAATCAGATGATCAAAAAATGCTTCTAATTGTTCGAAATTGAAAATTATCGCACACGTCAAAATCTCCATTCACTTCTCGGCCAATCACGTTCATGCATTCAAATAATGGGCGGAGTTTATTGCTTGAATGGCAGCCTGATATCTTTACTAGTTAGCATTTCAATTGTGTTTTGTGTAGATAAATAGCCAAATATTTTATCGAAATTATCATCAGTTTTATTCGAAACGAATTTGAATTTTTTTTTCGTTTTCAGAAAATTCGGACCAATCAAATTTCTTTTAACTCCTTCTCGTTGGCAAAATTTTTAATTAAGAATTTCTCAGTAATTCAGCGAAACAATTTAACAAGAATTTGTTCAAATACTCATAGACATATATAAATTTATTATGTAAACATCTCTATAAGCACGAAATTATACAAACACACATATATCATTTATACATACTACAATACACAACACACATACACGAAAACGCCATTACATTTACACGCACACACACACACACACACACACACACATATATATATATATATATATATTGTAAAGACTTTTATATACATGCATATATAACCACAAAAAACTCTTACGTGATTGGCCAATTCAAGCATTACGTCACACGAAAACACCATGTTCTTGCAGCCAATCAGAGAGAAGAGCTCTACCTCGACAACAACAACAACAACGATAATAATAATAACTACAACAATAAAAATAATAATAAAAAGAGGAAACACAACAACAACAGCAATAACAACAAAACTTACTCTGAATTCATAATAAGCATATAAGAGCAGTTAGCGTTCCTATGAGCTATGCTAATAAACACATGCACACGTACGCATACACACAAACACACACACACGCACACACACACACAACCTGTTTGCAAACATCTATGTGTGTGTATATATTAAGTATGTATATATATATATATATATATATATATATATATATAATTACACACGCACACATACATGTATATATGTTTGCAACAGACAAATATCTATCTATAATGGAGATGATGAGGACAACGATGATGTGACTGATGATGAGGATAATGATGAAGAAGAAGAAGAAGAAGAGGAAGAAGAGAAAGATGATGATTATGATGGCGACGGCGGTGAGTGTGTTGTATAGTTTAAATTCAAACGTCACCCATGTTTTCCATGTATTCTTTCCGCCCAGTTGACGTTCATCTTCAGAGGACATATTTTTGTTGGTCATTTTTTTATAGGTAGCTGATCAATTTCTATATTTTATTATTATTGTTATTTTAATTTTTGTTATTATTATTAATAATTATTATTGTTTGGGATTAGATGATAATTGTTTGAAAGTACTCGAGCGAAGAAAATAAAACTTCATACCGCTGTTGTGGACTCTTTGACGTTGAGGTTTTAAATTTGTTGGAAAAAAAATGGTCTCCGTAATTGAAAACAAGACTGCAACATACGCAACAATTATCTCAACAACGAAATCCTCATCAACATCGACGACATCATTATCAACACCTCCCCTCTCACCGACAATCCCATCGGGATCTCACCAGAGTGCAACAAACAGCCAGCAACAGCAACAACAACAACAACAACGACAACAATTCAGTTTTCCTCAATTCCCAAAATATCCCATATCTCCATTCCCATGTTTGCCAAGATTTCTACCACTATTTCCAATCCCACACCGGCTATCCTTTGCTCCTCTGTTTCTACAGCAACAACACCACCAGCAACTGCAACAAAAACTACAACAACATTTTCAACAAAACATCCAGCAACAACATCAACAGTATATTCATAGTCTGTCTCAACAGCAGCCCCAGGAGCAAACGTTGTCGCAACATTCAAATTTTGTTGAAAGCAACAAAAACAACAACAGCAACAACAGTTTTCAACAATTTGAGAACAATGCGTCGTTGCTGAAACAGCGTTTCAACATGTTTCTTAATCAGAATAAGTTGCTCTGTTGTTCAAGCCCCCTTTATCAGTCGGTTCGTTGTTTATTTCCTGTATTTTATTCACAAGTTTTTTCATTTAAAATTAATTATCTCAATTATTTTCATATTTTAGTTGAAATTCTGTTATCTCAAATTTCATTTCAAAGAACCCGCGAATTTTTGTGTTAGCAGCATTCAAAAAAATATTTCTTAACAGACTGACACCATCAACAAACCTTCGCCAACGATATCATGGAAATACAACAATAACAGCAGCAACAACAACAGCAACAGCAACAACAGCAACAACAAACTCAACAACAACAACTCAAACCCAAATTTTCTCTCGCCCTCCAGCAATTGGTTGCCTGTTGGGAACAACATGAAGGAGGTTTATCACCACCCATCTTATTATCAACAACCACTAAGGTCGACAAACTATTTGTTTGTTTGTTTGTTTGTTCGTTCGTTTATTTATTTATTTTGTTATTACTTTGTTTATTCGTTTGTTCGTTCGTTCATCCATTTTTTTTAACATATTATTCGATTCCTGATGCATCTTACAAAATTTATTTTATCACTACATCACCAACATCATTATCATTTTTATCATCTTCTTCGTCATCATCATCATCATCATCATCATTCCCGTCATAATCATCATCAGTTATGGAGTGATTGACGTGAGGAGAAAGAATGCAACTCGAGAATCAACAACAACGTTGAAATCCTGGTTGTACGAGCACATGAAGAACCCATACCCGACTAAAGGTATGTCTCTGTATGTATGCATGCATGCATGTGTGTATGTATGTATGCATGCATGCATGTATGTGTGTTTGTTTGTTTGTATGCATGCTTGCTTACATGTATTTTTGTGTAACTGCAAACAGATTATTAGCATTATTTTCACTAAACATCAAGCCGTATTGGCAAATTATATGTTTCTCTCACTATGCGTGCACGTTTGTATGTTTGTATGTATGTTTGTATGTTTGTATGTATGTATGTATGTTTGTATGTATGTTTGTATGTATGTATGTATGTTTGTATGTATGTATGTATGTTTGTATGTATGTTTGTATGTATGTATGTATGTTTGTATGTATGTATGTTTGTATGTATGTATGTATGTTTGTATGTATGTATGTTTGTTTGTATGTATGATTGTATGTATGCATGCATGCATGTTTGTATGTGGGCGATGCATTTATCCAATTCACTTTTTTCAAAAATTCATGTAACAAATAATTGCGCCATTATTTTTTGAATGTTTCGATTTTATCAGAAAAATGTTGATATGTTATCACCGCTGTTATTATTGAAATTATCAAGTTGAATAAATGAATGCACGTATGTATGTATGTATGCGTGTGTGTGTGTGTAATTATGTATGTGTATGTGTGTGTATGTATGTATTTGTGTATGTGTGTGTGCACGTAACTCGAACATAATGAGCGTTCAGCGAGAGTCTTCAAAGGAAGAGTTTCGCTCAAAGAGTGTTTCGGCCCTTTTAACTTCCTGACACTCTCGAGCAACAGGGCCACATCCAGAGATCAGTTGAATGTTTCTCGCTGTATAAATAATTTGCCTCGATATGAAATCACCTCTTTTTATATTAAAAAATTGTAGACGTACCAGACAGTTCACCATATAAACCTATCATGATGTGAGTTATCTCGACGAGCCAAGTAAAACGCTACGCCGAATTTGGGAGTGTTGAATAATCTGAAGCCTTACGGGCACACAAGCCCGTCTTTTAACTATTTAAACTTGCATTCTTTTTTCTTCTTGCATAACCACATCCAGTAAGACGCTTGTTCGGCTGTATGTCCTCCTATGTCCTTCATACAACTCGATCGTCTTTTACCTGCCAAATCCAAATCCTTCAAAAAGCTGTGCACTGAACAACCAACAACACTTCTTGCATCGACCTCAACTACGTACAACAAATACCTTAACCCACTTAAGGTGTGTGTATGTATGTATGTATGTATGTTTGTTTGTTTGTATGTATGTATGTACGTATGTATGTATGTGGTTAATTATTATTACTACGCAAACAATTTCAGTCTATTTGGTTTGCATAAACACCTGAAGTGTCATTTGAATTGCATACAATAATGCTAACGTTAATTAGTTTCTTATTTAATTTGTGTTGTATTTACACCTAAGAAGAACCATCCTTACACACGTACACAAAACAAACAAAAACATACAAACAAACATACATACAAACATACAAACAAACAAACAAACATGCAAACATAGGCGAAAAAATTATGTTGGCCATCATAACGAAAATGACGCTGACACAAGTTTCAACGTGGTTTGCTAACGCGAGAAGAAGGCTAAAAAAGGTAAGTAGAGAAAAAATTAATGAAATGAAATGAAAACAAAAATAATATGCAAACACAAAGTTATAATAAATTGTACATTGAAAGTAATTCAAATGTTCGTTGTTTGCATGTAGAAAGATGAATCATTAATCTAAAAATTACTTTTGTTTCTAAGTTTCTATCACAATATATGTCATCAGACCATAAGATCAAACATTTGGATTAAAGATAGTTTATAAGATTTACAAGAGCCGACGGAGAAATTCCAAATCTCTTGATTAAAACAATGTAGCATCCTCCTCATCATCATTCTCGCCAGGAGAACAAGATGGTTTGGTCACCATCAAAACGCACAAACAACAATGGCGATGACGACGACAACGATGATGATGACGACGATGATGACGACGACGATGATGCCGATGTATCTATCGGCCAAAACATCGATGATGACGTCAACATTGATGTCCATAACAACAACAACAACAACAACAACATCAATTTCAACAACAACAGCAGCAGCAGTAACAACAACACAAACTATAATGACGACGATGAAAATGATAACAACAACAATAAGAATTATGATACAAGTTACGCAATCGCTATTAATGATAACAACAACAACAACAACAACAATAATAACAATAACAACAGCAATAACAATAATAATAATAATAATTACAGGAATTTTAGTAACAATAATAATGAGAAAGCCGACGATGAAGACGACGACGATGACGTTTACAATGTCCTTAAAGTTAAAAGACGAAAAAGATTTCTTAAGGAATTTAGTGACACAAGATATTTCAAACGAGGCTACATCATCAACAACAACAACAACCAC